TCAATGTCTGAGAACAGGGTTCCCTCTATATATATATATATAGATATCCCTAGGATATGTACAACCTTCTTCTGGGTTGGGCAGATCTTGGACATGCTGTGGGTGTAGAAATTCATTTACAGTTGGCACACGGACTTTATTACCATCTGAATTATCCGAATGTTGGTTTGCTCGGATACAGTGGTGGTTGGAAGGCCGTAGTGGTGGTTCACAATGCCAAAGACTTGCTCAAAGATGGGGCGTACATGCATGGCAATCATCGGGTCACTTGGGTTGATCGCTGACAGCACATGCGTCATCCAAGTTAGTTTCTTGCTTGTCTCATTGCTAATATCACATGCGAGCTGCTGGAGAAGTGATAAGAGTACTCCTTGACTCAAAGGGGAAGGATTCCTCATCACGATTCCAAGTAAATCAACCTGGCAGATATTAACATCTTTTTAAAGAAACAAAACAAGACACTAACAGAGAGAGAGAGAGAGAATGATCATATTATTCTAGAGAGTATACTAGAATATAGGCAATGACAGCAATATTTGATTTGCACATAGCAAAAACGTAATGAAAATAGGTCACAGTATAAATGGCTAAATGCAATGCATCTCAATGGCAACATTTGAGATACAAACCAACAGAACTGTGAGACAGAAATCATATTTAATATTACAACTACATACATAAGTAGACAACATATACCTGAGAGCATAGCCATGATACAATAGACACGTCACTTCTTTGCAAAGCGGAAGTGAAAGCCTCCGCATACTTCTGCTCTGCTAACAATCTAGATAAGTCCTTCGTTGGATCTGGGGGTGCCTCAAACTGCAATGGATGTAGCAAAAGGAAAAAAATTGCTAAGCACAGGATAGACGGAATAAGTCAAGGGTATTTGGCATTTAGAATACAACGAAATACCTAGCAAAAGAAGAAAAAAAAGTAGAAAATACATATGGGTAGCTGATAACCTTTTCAATTTGGAGCATGGGACCATTACATAATTGCCCGACAATTGGATTTGTTGCTTCGGAATTTACTAAAGCCAGCAGTTTTCTTAGACCTTCAGCAAGCTCACCATTTAGTGTTTGAGTCAGTGATGACGCTGAATTGACTGCATCCTGAAGTTTAGCCAAACTCATTAGTAAAGAGATAAATGGTCAAAAACTTGTGTCATGTCTTTCCATATTGAATGTATTTTGCAAAAATGAAAATGGCAATCTTCCACAACAAAAAGCAACAATAACAGATCCTTAATCTCAAAACCACTGTGCCAGCTACATGAACCAATAAAATTCTCTCAATGTGATCACCAATCTTTTCATTGTTCCATATGCAACATCCCCACAAAATTCACATATTCATCCACGATAAAAAAAAGCAACTAGTTCTTGTTTTAGCAGTCACCATACTGTTCTCTAGGCCCGTGACTCGCTTATAGTGACACAAAGCCGTACACTAGGGGACCTTTGCAGTTCTACATGATGAGCTCAACAGAACATTCTAGTCCAATAACAAATAAAATTAAAAGAAAACAGAAGTTTTTAAGGAATTAAAGTGTTGGCAACAGCACTAGACTGGAAAATACCCTTAAAGCATGTGCCAAAGGAGAATGCAGGGACTCAATTTGTTGTTGAACTGCAGCAGCATGTTCAGCCATTCCTTTTTGAAATGTAGCATCAACCTGCTCAAACATTGCCTTGCATGACATGTCGAATGCAGGGATTACTGAAGCTTCAAGAGTTGATTTTAATGATTCCTGCACAATATATGCAAAGCAATTAATCTATATGCGTGAAATTACAGTGCATAATCTATTGTGCACTGTTCCTCTTAAATCATTATCCGTGAAAAGGCCTATTTCTTATAGGAAACCAAACAAGTCTTATATGCTGCAGCCCAGCAATGTTGAAACAAAAATAATAAATATAATTATAGTTTGGGGGGAGTGAGTATACTACTAAAACTATCTTTCCAACAAAATAATAAATACAATTATAGTTTGAGACCATGTGCGGTGCTTTGTGGTTTCAGTAAACAATCGTAGCAATGAAGAATTGAAGAACCATTCAATTTCCATATGAGATTGTTTGAATTGGAGAAGTTCTGATTTGGGAGTGAAGGGTTTGGGGGCGGATGACTATAGGAGTAGAATGATTTAGGGGCATTTTGGGAAAACCAATACAATTTCTACACTTCCTTAAAAATCACTTACGGTCAAAGCGATAAGAAAGGAGGGAGTTTTATTTGTGTATACTTTAAGCCAAATAGTATTGAAAGTATACACATAACAACCCAAAAGTCCATAACCCATATTCCATTTGAGGCTCATCTGGGTTTGTTTCACTTTATGTAATATACTACAGTACATAATTAATTTTGTGCAGCCAGGCTGTACACGAGAAATACTCCAACACAGGAAAAATAATGAAACCAAAAGAAAAAAATCAGAAATTCATGAAACAGCGATAAAAGAAGAGCCAACCAAAGTACAGAACACAAAAAATGAAGAAAAGAATAAATAGAAAAAACTTCAAGGCGCTCATCTCAGTCTTGGGCCTATATTGTCTCTCTGTGGACAGGGGTGTAAGCCTCAAATTCCTGTATGAGGCTTAAGCCTTTGAGTGTTAAACTTAGTACCTTGGCGTTTCAAGGCAGTGACATGGTGCACCTCGAACACTTTTGAAAACCATGATTTTAACAAGTGTATGTAAGCTTACCTGAAGCGCTTGCTTTCCAGAAGTTTGAAACTGTGCCTGGAGTTGTCTGGCCACAGTGGCTTCGAGTTTGGAATAGATTGCTTTTTCCAGTTGACTCACTGTTTTGTCACCCACACTCTTCTGCATCATAGAGAATCGAGTAAACCCTGGCATATATATACACTCACGGATAGAATTTAAAAATTAAACATTTACCAAATCTACCTGATGAAATTCATAAAGAGTCGAGGACAGTGCTTTCTCTATAATAGGAGTTAAAGTTCGTGCAACAGCTTGTCCAACAGAACCTATTTCCTTCTTCACTATTTTTTCCACTACTACTGAAACATCCTTGTTCACACAGTTTGAGATTAAATTAGTAATCTGTTGAGTACGGTCACGTGATAACTTCTCATGCTTTGTAAATTCTTCTTGAAAACGAGCCCATAAAGCATCAATGTTGGTCTTAGTAAATTTCTCCATGCTGCGTCCCATGGCTGCCTCAAGCCGTTTTCCTTCTTTGTTAACTGGATTGGCAACCATCGTCCCCATCTGCTTCTGACTTTCTTTTTGCATTGTCATGAGCTGCAAGGAAAGGAATAGTGAATTATATTCATAGCAAGTAGGTGCAGCAAATGAAATGAACCAATAGAATGATAGATCTTCAATATGACAGGATATAATGGTATCGGTACCTGATTCAGACTATCTTGCATCAACGAAAGCTGGGAAAATGCAGCTTCCATGGAGGAGATACTTACTGTGACACCTGTTTCAGTTGAGGAATCTGTTGTTTCAGAAGAACTAGGCAATTCCAATGGTGGCACATGACTCTGAGAATTCTTCCCTTTTGGTCTTTTTCCTTTTGCACTAGCTTCAGTTGGTTGTATAACAGGGGCAGGCATTTTTGCATCTAATTCCCTTCCAGAGACATTATTTGTAGAGCCTTGCTCCTCTTGGTTACTTGCTGATTGGACCAAATTCTCACTTACAATGGCCCCATCACATTGCCTAGAATCCTCAGTGATATAGGTTTCTGGTGACAATGCAGAGCAGTCTCTTGCCATTTCCATACCAAGATCAGATGCTTGAGAGCAAAATGTTTTATCCTTATTGTCTGATACAAAATCCTGCAGTTTTCCTAGAGAACCGATGCCACTATATTGATTAAATCGTGATTCACCAACAACCTTAACTTCCACTTCTACGTTCCTTGCTTCATTGTTCATCATCACATCTTGTATTTCATCACTCTTCTGCTCAACAATGTGATTCATTTCAGAAGATGAGTCCCTCAATAACTCAGGAGTAACCAGATGAGTGGGCTGCTTGAACTTTACGGGGTGATTGAGACCTGAGGAAGCATCTCCATGGAAAGCCTTGATTTCATCACTCTTAGCATCGTCAATGAAGGAGCCTACATCAGACGAATAGGCATGGATGGGATCCATTTGCCTGTCTACAGAATATTCAACCACTTTTGAATCACCCCCATGATCACTAATAGGGGTGGATTCAAAGCTGTTTGAAGAACTTCTGAAACCAGAGAGTTCATGAGGTAACCTAGGACTCGCAGGAAGTGGAGCAGATGAATCAGGTACAACATCCGCATCAGTATTTGTGACAGAGATGGTGTCTGGATTACTTTCCAAGCTATAAGTAGCAAACCCTTGTGAAGTGGTTATCTCAGTACCAGCAGGGCTCAGATAACGTCTCCCAGATGGTGCACTCTGAGAACTAGTTTCACTTGGCGGTAGCTTTGGTGCAGAACTAACAGATATAGGTAACTCTATTGGTTTACTTCCAGAAGTTTCCATCTGAGAAAATCCTTCAACACTAGTTCCATCGCGTGAGGCACTAGATTCTAACCTATCAAACATGATATTCTCTAATGGAGGAGGTAAACACTGAGATAACTCCAAAGTATATTGCTGAATGGCTTGTGTCTGAACACAATAAACCCGAACTTTCTGGTCACCGTGTGGTAATATGTCACTTGCCCCAGTAAAACTAAGTATTGGCATGGTGACAGTAAACTCTGCAATGTAATCCATCCTACTTGCTGCTGGGTTAGGACCATAATCTAAATGCACCACATATATAGCATTCTTTTTAGCATTAGCCAATAACAGCAGACCAGCTTGAGACAAAGCCACAACTTGATTGAAAAAAGCTTCGCCAACTTGAGATTCAGTCGAACTCTTCAACTCCAAAGTCTGTGTACATTGCCATGATTCAGAATCACTTGGAAGTAACCAGCCATCTTCACTCCTTGATGACCATATCTTGATTTCTTGATTAAGTGGGCCCTAGAAACAAATTCATTTAGTTTGTTGCAGAACATAAGCAGTATACAAAGTTCAATTGACAAGTTATTATTGAAAGAACTATAATGTAACAGAGATGAGTTCACACGATGAACTCAAGAAACATGTCGCATATTTTGAAACAAAAAGAAACAAACAAAAAAAACAAAGAAGAGTTGTTGAATACCCCATACAGATATGGATTGTTACAGTTTGAGAAAAAGTTACATCGCATACCCCAGTGATTAGTATGATGTGATCTGGATGATTTGGAGCAGCCAAAAATGTAACAGAATTTATAGGCAGCCCATCATGAGGCCTCAATACAGCAATTGGTGTTGATTTGCGGTCCTCCCAAACTTTTACCTGTTAACAAAGACAAAATCTAGTAATCCAGGTGCATAAACAACAAGATTTGTACTTGCGGTCTGTTTGGGAAGAAGAGTTGCCATTAAGCTCTCAGATTTTTCAGTTTCTACTTACCATTTCAACTTATGGTAATCGTTTTTCTTTGTTTTACCAAACAAAGTATTACTACTAAGGCAAACACTAACTTATACTCCGTATGATTTAGTTAGGTTGATAATCAACTAATTAGTACAAGTAGTCCAGAAGAACATTTTGTTAAAATGGTTGAAAAAAGATAAAGTACACTTATAGTCTTGTACCCTCAACTTTAACATATTATTTCCATAAAATTATTTTTAAAATATCATTTGTTACCTTTTTAGGTAATTCAGCCTGTCATAAAACCACAGCAATCACACTCAACTGTATTTCAATCACCAAACACTTCCAAGTTCAACAAACGAAACGGGTGTTGTGTGTAGAAATAGAAACAAAAGAAAGCATTTCAATTAGCTTATGTGCACACAGCTTCACAAGGATGACAAGTAGAAATTAACCAACCGTGCCATCCACTGAAGCAGATACAAGCCGGGTAGTCATCCACTGAGACATCGATAAGTCAGTGACTTCTCCATCGTGGATACCTACAAGCTGGACACCTTCAACCAAACGGTCAACTGGACATCCTAGTGCCTCTTCTGCTGAAAATACTTCACCTTTTCCAACTTTTGTGGTATCAATTCTTAACACTCTTTTTCCAATACCAACAACAAGAATTTCCTACACAAATGATAATGAAAAGGCTTATGGTACCTTAGAAGATGAGAAAGTCCCAAAACAAATTGTAGGGGACACTCCACATTGAAATAAGAACACATTATCAGAACATACTTGTTTGTGACAATGCCAGCATACTCGTGGATGAGTTGATTCTCCTTCTCCAATAAATTTAATAGCAACAACTACCTTCTCTGTTATCTGCGGCTTGCCTTCATCATCTGGCCCTTCAGTGATTTTCCATATATAAACCCGCCCATCAATACTTGCACTGTCAAATAAGAACATAAGTAAAATAAATGAAAAACATGAAAAGAGTAATATTTTGAGCATAATCAAGCAAGAGTACCTTGCTAAAAGGTGAACATCCTCTGCAAAAAAAGCCATATCTGAAACCCTCTGAAAGAATAGGAGGTAATTTTAAACAGGATCAGAATGTGTTTAGCCAATATATTGATAGAGAGACTATAGAATATTTATAAAGTTCCCAGTGAGACTACCATTTGACAAAAACAGCCAAAACAAGTACGCGTCCATTTGGTATTTCTGCCAGTTTCTATTTTTTTTTATTTGACAAATTTAAAAAGTTGTTTTGGTATATGATACGGCATCCATTTCCAAAGGAGCTAAGATTGTCATTTTTAGAATGTTTAAGCTTAAAGTAAATATAGTGAACTATAGATCAAAATGACACATTAAGCTTCCTTTGCATCTTATTCTCTCTGAAAGAGTCTAACAAACACAGTCCCTCTATAAATGTTGCATAAATCTTGACCCCCAAACCATATGGAGTTGGGAATAAATTGGGTTTGTTATAGCTGTGTGTTAGTATATGAAAAAGATTGCTTAATGAACTAGAAAGCGGTCATACTTATCTAGGCTCTGTTTTGGAACAGCGGTTTTAGTTAGCGTTTTAGAAAAATGCTAAAGCTAAACACTAAGCTTTTGCCAAACAGATCCCTAATCATGTTATGCTTGAAACCTGCACAAAACACTAAAAGTTAAGCAATCTTGTTCTTAGTTTTCAAAACACAGGAAACACAGGTCGCAAACAGGACCTAACCTACTAAAAATATTTTTAGAATTAAGACTTATGAGCAAAATTGTGAGTGTCAGCATATTTACCAGTTTCGTATGAACATGTAAGAGAAACTAGAAATAAGAATGCCCTTGAGGGATGCTGGTCCAGAAATGACTTCTTAAACAATACTTTCACTTCACACTCTATGTTCCAAGCTAAGTAACTAAATTAACATAAAACTGGTTTATCTGGTTTGCTTTCTATCTCTATAGCTCAATAAATTAGATATTCATCTGCATCTCATTCTAATATCTGTAAATCACATTACAATGGACAACAAGGCTAAGACAAGTCAGTTCTGTACTAGAAAAAATAATCGTAGCATCTTATCTTTATACAGGAGAAAAAGCTATTCATTATCTTGCCAAAAGACAGTTTCTTCAACTACTTTAGAGTTATGCAATTGTGATACTCAAGTACAACATATATTTTCAGTTTCAATGCTTCCAACCCCACAGTATTAATTGGACTGATGCTTTTGAGGTTTCCAGAGAATCAACTTTAAATTTTATGAGAGTGGATTCTAGAACTCCCCAAATTAAACCGTTACAACAATTGGCCACATGTAATTTTAGTATAAGGGCATGTTCTTTTTGGATGGAATAAAATCACATGTGTGTAAATGGGGAGCATCCCAAAAGAACATGCCCTAAATGGAGAGCATCCAACTTGTGTAAGAAATAATATCACACTATAGCACTACAATCTGCATACTCATATATCTATTGCCGAACTGCCCAAAACAAAAATCTTTATGTGGTCCTAAAGGATGTCAATAGTACCAAGGCTACTAGGTCTCTAAAAATGTAAACAGTGAGAAATACCAGGGGAAATGAAAATTTTGAATTAGTTTTTCATGATGTTAGCTTTCCCTTAAATTTACAAACCTATCACACTACTACATGAGAATCAACCTGGTTCAGGATGGTTGTATGCCCAATTTATAAAATATTGGATGCTCCATTTATACTATAATGCCCAATTAAAGCTTCTATTTATAAAAAAAGTTTTCAATTAAAGATTCTATATATATCAGTTCAGCCTAGTTTACTACTATACAGTGTAAGATAGGTTTCTGCCACATCAATATGGAACACTGAGATGTACAATGACAAGGTATGAAACATGCCAGGATGAATATGAATCAATACCAATGAAAAAACAGACCAGCTAGAAATAAAACAGTTGCAACTTCTATAATAATAACAGCGAAGTGCTGAGACTAACCATTGGACTTTTAACTATATCAATAATTCAAAAAACTAATTCTAGAATAAAAATAAATGGTTCATCAGTACTCTGCATCTAAAATAGAAACATATAACAGCACACTAGAATGCACTACTCCTGTACTAAAAAATGCTACCCCTAGAAAAGAAGAGCAAAAGCAAACTAAAAAAACAAGGAACAAGGGATCTAAACAACATTGTTCAGCCTAACATTCAGCATCACAAAGAGAGAACATACAAGACAAAACTAAATCTGAGAAACCACAACCTGAACATGACCTCTAAGCAATGCCCGCAATGCAGTATGGCTGTTAAGGACCCGTATATTTCCAAGCTTGAGTCCATAGCATATATATGGCTTATTCACTGTAATTTGACGGCCTAAAGCAAGCACAGGTTCGGAATTGTACTTAGTAATGGGATTGACTTCAAGTTGAGGCTGCACCTCACCAGGCAATCTAGCATCGATATCATATACAATCTGGTCACCGATCAAATGCCTTCCTTTAGGCAACTTATTGCTTTTCAACCGCATAGGATCTGAACCGGCATGCACGTTGTCTATATTGGGTACTGAGTGCAGCAAAGGAACACTAGTTGGTGCTGAAAAATCAGAAAGATCAGACCCAGATGTGGTAGGCTGGATTCCGGGAATTGGGGATTGTTGCTGGATTTCATGAGTGGGAGGAGGCGGGCTCAACATAGCCATGAGTTGAACACCAGAATTCTGGTTACTATTTGGGTTCTGAAACAGGTGAGGATTCGCAGGAGGGGGTTGGACGGGCTGAGTAGGAAAAGAAATGGATCTCTGTTGGTGTAAATTGGAGAACTGTCCGTCCACTTGTGGCGCCTGGCCGCTGTACTGAGGGATGTGGAGGTGGTACTGAGCGTGGGGGCGGAATGGAACGGTCTGAGGCTGGTAAGCAAAAGGCCCGCCGCCCCCTCCTCCGGTGGGAGGTGGGTATGAAGCAGAGGGCAGAGGAAACGCCGACGAACTAATCAAATTATGGTTGTTAGGGTTTTGGGCATTGGGATTCCCCGACGCTGAAGAAGGCACAGACGGCGAAGGTTTGAAGAACTTATGTAAATCGAATGGGCCTCCTCCTCCTCCTCCACCTGCTTGGTTAGGATTCCCAGCTGAAGCCATTGATTCTGACTGAGATCTGTTCGATCGATTGATCTATACCTCCGTGTCTTTATATATGTGCGTAGAGATACAGATTCGCAGACGTATATGCGGAGAGAGAGTGAAAGAGGAGTTGGATGGGTGATTGAAGAATTGAAGAAAAATTGAACCTGTTTACAACTCCTTAATTATCACTAGGGTTGTGGCCACGGGCGCCCCCTATAAAATGTTTAAGGGGTAGGGTGTATTCAATCATTTTTTTGGATTTTGAAAATATGAATATACGGGGTATTCAAATTCACTTTAAAGGGGTTATTGAATTGTGAGTTCGTATTCATCTACATTTTTAGAAGTCTTTAAAAATTCACTTTAGATTTATAAAATTTAATGTATTTCATCTAGATTTTTAGAAGTCTTTAAAAATTTTAAGGTATTCAATAGGAATTTTCCAAAGTCTCTAAAATTATTGAAGTATTCAATTTAGATTTTCAAAAGTTTAAAAATTCTGAAGTATTTAAGAGTCTATGAATTTTAATACTATATGGATTTTGTTGGATTTTCTATCAAAAATTGTTTAATATTTCACTCTTGAAAATCTCTTCTCACATCTCTAGATTTCTATGGGCTTTCATTCGTCCCTCCTCCTCCATAGATATTGTTCTTAGTAGAGTAAATTACTGAAAAATCTTACCACATTGCCTTTTCCCTATCTCTAATTCCGATCTAGGAAAAAAAATCAAGGGATGACTCTTCAAATTTTTGATCAAAAGAAAAAAGTTGCACGCAGTTCCGATTTTTTCAAATTTATGATCATGAAAACCTTCATAACGTCCTCCCTGCAGCACGTGAATTGAACTGGCAGGGACGGTGACGTTCACTACACACTGGCGGTAGGATTTCAAAAAGCAAAACAAAGGCACGATAGCCCCACAAATTTCTGAAGATGAATTACATATTTTTTAAACTCTACATAGATTCTACATATTTTTCAAACTCTAGATGGATTATATAAAAAATTCAACCAAACTCTACATGGATTCTACAATTTTTTCGATCAATTCCACTAACTTCTTGAAATCTAAAAAAATCTAATAAAATCTTAATTATATATATATATATATATATATATATATATATATATATATATATATATATATATATATATATATTCCAAATCCGACCAACCCCCTTGGATTTTGCAGACTCGTCTTCTTTTTCCCCACAAATAGATTTCACGCAACTTTTCCTACTTCGATCGGACGGCGGCAACACCAACACACAGCACAGATCACCGATCGATCGGTGACCAGCTTCAGCATTAGCGATCTCCAGTCACCTTCAACGTCTCACCCTCTTCTTCTTCGACCAGATACTACATCAACCACGGCCGTGAGGGAGCTGGTAGTTGGGACTCTCTCTATTCCAGCGGTATTTGAAAGTTAATTTTATAAAATTAAGGGTACCTAACAGCAATTTTTTTAAAAAAGATGATGAAAAAGATAACAAAGAAAATGAATTCGGTAGATGAATGCCGGAGTTAATTTCCGAATAATTAAGGGTACCCCAAAGTATATTATTATAAAAAATGAGACTTGTGAATTCTTATCCCTAAATCAAAAGTACCCGATATCAAAATGCAGAAAAAAAGTGGATATAATTTATTTAGAACGGAGAAATGTTCTAACGTTTCATTCATTTCTGTTTATAAAAATAAAAAATGAAAATATATTTTGATCCAGTCCCTATGGTAATATAATAAAAAAGATTGATCAAAATTGTAAATATTACTCCCTCCGTCCCAAATTATAATGCATGTTCACTATTCACAAAGTTAAACTTCCTTCACTTTCTTTCTATATTTTCGTTGGTAATTTGGTAAAATAAAGTACTATTGTAACTACTAATTTTGTAAATCTTTTGATGTAATATTTTGATATGTAATTTTTATTTTTAAATCTATACCATTTTTATATAAAATGATTTGAAACTAATTTCAGTAAAATATCGTAAACCGATACAGGCACTATAAATTGGGACAGGGAGAGTAAAAACTTAATAGGTGATATACAAATTACTTTAAGAATAAATGCATATTTCTTTTTTCATCTTTAGATATGTAAATTATAAGTATATGTTTTACCGCAATTGCTAATGGCAAACTATATCTATACAAAGGATTTATGAAGAAAGTTTTTTTATATGAATCAAACCAATTTTAAAGCGAACCGAATATTTTATATATGTGAAAAAATTATATAAAAATCTCTAAAAATATTCAGACCGAATACCATCCAAAACTAGCCAATACAAATAAGGGGGGTGTTCTGCTGACTTGAGCCTCCCATGTCATCCTAGGACATGGGCCCCTATTAGGGCACCCTCCATTCAAAAATTGATGTTTCTTACCCCTGGTAAACCATCCCACCCGAACCTCCCGAATCCACATTTGCACCCCCGTCAATTGCACCCCACAATATTAATTTGATTTTGGAATTAGATTTTGACTATTAAGTCAACTAAATCTTGTGAGGTGTAATTGACGGAGATGCAGGGTGGGTTTGGGCCAGGATGTGGAGGTTTACTGGGGAGGGGAGGGGTTAAGGGGTGTAGAATTATCAATTTTTCGAACAGAACCCCGTATAGACCTCGTGTCATCTCATGATATTACTTCCCAATGTCATGGGAACCAAGGTGTACAAATAATATTCATGAATATTCGATTCATCTACAATCCTAGTTGAGAGATGAGTATCAAATAGGTGAATTCAAATTTTGCTCTTGAGAACATTGATAAAGAATGGCTCTGCATAAGATGCATGAGATTCCTGTGGACAAGCCTCACTTTATTTTAATCATTTTGAGATCATAATTTCATTTACCTAATTACCTCCTCTTCGTACAGAAGACGCTGGGGTTCGGTTGGGGTTCAATCTCTCTTCTTCTTTTCAATCTAATAACTCCATATTTTTTAAACACCCTCGTTCCAATGACACCAAAATTCAATTTCATGGGATGACATCGAGCATCTATAGTATCTAGTTCATAAAAATTGATGGTTCCTACCCCCTTAACCCCAAACCCCCAACACAACACCTCCTCTCCCTTCCATGCCGACTTGGAGGCAGGGATTAGAGGCGTAGGAATCATCCATTGTACGAGGCACCAAAAGTATCCGATGTCATCTCATCCCATGACATTGTACCAAACTATTTTTTAAAAGGAAAAGAATACTAACTTACAATCATCCATATGGATGGTGCTAACTGACCGGAACCAACAATATTTTAAAAGATTTGACCGCTCCTTATTTAAACGGGTGGGGGTAAATGAACAATACTAGTAGTAACAAACTACTCTTTTGTTATTGTCATGCCACTTTCTCATGTGAACATAAAAGAGACAAATAAACGTAACAAAAATAAAAATAAGTATACCATTTTCAGGCAAAGTATGACGAGGATGATGAAATATCTGCCAGAACCTGAAAGAGATAGCATACTTTGTAAGCTCATAGAACAATACCAATATCAGCCAAGGAGATTGATATATTAATACCTACCTCAAGTTGCTCTTCCGTGAAAGAGTCTTTTTGTATATTCCATGTGTCTGCATGAGTGCGTCGGAACTCTGCCACTGCTTTTGTAACGGTAGATTTCACCGGGGACGGTTCCGAAACAAATTGAGCCAGTAGAGTTATGTAATCAGGCAGCCAACTGAAACAGATTATTACAAATCAGTACTGAAAATGCACATAATAAATTAATAACAATGATACTCTCTGTACCGGAAAAAGATCCACCTTTCCCTCTTTGGTTGTCCATAAATAAAGTAATACATTCTTTTCAAGGAAAGAATTATGTGATTCATACAGTATTATTTATCTCGCCTTTGCATAAATCTCAACCACAATATTTCCCCTTTCTTAGTAATCATGATGAGTCAAATGTGAAATCTTATTCCGGGATGAAAGGAGTAAAGTTGCCACAAGAAAAATTATGTGTTTTTTTTTTCATTTAACAAGAAATCATCCATCAAGGTGAAAAATGTAAATATGAACAGAAATATGATTATATATATATATATATATATATATATATATATATATACACATACATACATACGTACGTACGTACGTACGTACGTACGTACATACATACATACATACATACATACATACATACATATATATATATATATATATATATATTGCATTCCTGTTTTCATCCTAAACACTAGTACAGGCAGAATTTAATTGTGTTCTCAAGACCAGTATAAAATATATAGATTCATAATAATGTGCCTCCAGAAATAAATAAGCATATTAGATGCTGCCAGCATAACTCGGCCAACAGAAACCCAACCAAGCCAGCCTGCCTTGTGTATTTTGTTACAAGAATGCTCGTACAAAATAGTGTGTGTAGCTGCTCTATTGTTTACACAGCTATGAAATATTCTAGCTACTAAATTTTCAAACATATCTGATGGATCGAGGACCCAGGGTAGAGAAAGAGAGAAAGAGAGACGTGGATGGCTGGGTCCCCTTCAAACTTGTACTGTAGTGCTGATAACACAAACTTCAGGTGGGGCCGAGCTTGAGACGAAGACGAGGCTGGACTAACCATGCATGTCCGAGGCCAAGCTTATAGCTAGAAAAACCCAGGACATCCTGCCCGTGGAATCTCACTAGCTTGGTCTCAGGCACGGGTATAAAGCCCAGTATATGAGGTATATCCATCAATAACCAATGGTTAAGTTCAATTTGGTAACAAGTTCTGACCCAGCATATCTAATAAACCCTTGTTTCACAGCGGACACTAGATTTAGAAAAATTCAAGCATCCTCCATGTTCCACTAAAACATTTAATTCTTGTGCATTCAGTAAAAAATTAATAATGTAACAATAAGCATAATACTTTGGAGATACGAGTACAACAAAATTGGGACATACCCGGGCATGTCATAGGGGACTGATAACACACACGCTGCCAACGCGAGTATCTGACCATGTATGGATGCTACTGACTGCCCTGATGATCTTAAGCTTCTGTAGATGAAGGGTACACATAAATGGATACAGTAACATGCCATATTAGGACTATAGGAATATGGAATGCTCATACAACCCAGTAAAATCCCACGAAAGTAG